GCACTTGATCCTCTCCTCCAGATCATCAACATAGTTATTAAACAAGACTGGCCCAAAAACTGAGCCCTGGGGATCACTGCTTGTAACAGGCCACCAAATGGATTGAACTCCATTCACCACGACTCTTTGGGCCCCGCCATCCAGCCAGTTTTTAACCCAGCAAAGAACACACCCATCCAAGCCACGAGCAGTCAGTTTCTCCAAGAAATGCTGTGAGAAATGGTGCCAAAGACTTTACTAAAGTCTAGGTAGACAACATCCACAGCCTTTCCCTCATCCACTACATGGGTCACTTTGTCACAGAAGGAGACGAGGTTAGTCAAGCAGGACCTGCCTTTCATATACGCATGCTGACTGGGCCCGATCACCTCAAGAAGTGGGTCTGGTCTGCATATTGGGCCTTCTGTTCCCTTCAGAAGGGAGTCTCCTATAACAATGACCTGTCTTTTTTTCCTTTAGCAGTTTTGACACACAGCACAGGCCAACTTAGCCTTGACAACCTAGATGAATCATCATCCCCTTTACTGTTCGGTTCCACTTGCAGAGCCTCATATCTGCTATTATGCAAGGGCACCTGGGAAAGTGAGGCGGTCACAAAGGAGACAAACCTGCTCCACCAGGCAGGACAGGGAGGATAGGGAATCTCCCACATCATGCATCCCATCTGCCTGTTGGGCCTGTCTCAGGGAAGGTAGGGTGCGATTCCAGTAGTCTCTCTCTCTTGCCCTCCCTGACACTCCTCAACCTACTCACCACCTCCCAGAGCTCTGCCACTAAGTGGAGGAGCTCCTCTAGCTGGGCACACCTCCCTACTGCTGTTGACCCATACCAGCGTAGGAGCAGGGCACACTCTGCAGCCTGACACTGGGGCGGCAGCATGTTTCCATCAGAGCTTTGGCTGGGCAGCTGCATCAGTCATGGTGGGTGCAGAGCTTAGACAGGCCATAGCCTTCTGCCAGGTGGATACTATTGCTCTCTGGTCAAGCTGTCAGAGCTTCAGTGCCCGCAAACTGCTGCCCCACAGCCTGGCTGACACGCCATGCCCTGTTTGCCCACCCTGGTCGTGGCGCTCCTAGTTGCTAGTGCTCCCTAAGGGCTTCTTTTATACATGGTGGGGTGGTAGTGCTTGGCTACTGTTGCTCCTGGCACTGCCCAGGTCCTGTCTGCCACTGGTGTGAGCTGCAGGCTTCTAATGGGTCTCTGTTAGCCCTGAGGTTCCCCCAGTTCTGGAACCCTCATGTGCACTGTGCTGGAGTACTCTGCTGCAGACTGTGGCAGCACTGGAGCTGCTCACCTCAGCAACTGAATGCTAGTTTCAGTTACACTGACTACACATAGTCAAACTATGTTATTACATGAAGGTGATACACACAAGTCTTGCAAAATCTAAGCCCATAAACTTAAGAAGATTTGAACATTACTCAGACTCCCAACAAATTTGAGTGCTCTGCACAACTTCTTCCTTTGTCAGATACTTTTATCATACACAATAATACGTTGTGCTCTGTCCTAGTACATTGCTCTTGATTATTCTTTTTCATGTCTTCATAATAAAGACACAATGAATACAGTAACATAAACACATCCACTTCTCTCCAATTACTTCCCTCTTCTAAAAAGAAAGCCATAGAATTAGTACCTAACACTGAGAATAGAACATGCAATACTGTTTTGTTAAACACACAATATCTCCCTAGAAGACAGCAGAATATACTTTTCTAAAATTAACAGAGTTTTTTTCATCAAGAAAACATTATCACAAGAAACTAAAGTTCATTTTAGTGCTGTTTGTATAGCGTAAATGTTGTGAATTAGTCCTTAAGTAGCTTGATAGTTATTTTGCATAGCAAGCAAAACTATCTTCCCACCGTGATTCTTCTGTCATGAGCCATTTGTCAACTGGAGGCCACCATGTACAAATAACCCATAGAAATACATAATCTACTGCTACTAATTCACATCACAGAAACTACACAGCATCTCAATCATAAGAGGTGTTTCAGGACATCAAAGTAGTAAGCTGACTGCCACTGCATGCTAGCTGTACTAATTTGCAGTACAACTACAGTACAACACAAATAAACAAAGCATGACTTCAGTAGGACTACTCATATGGACAGTACATATGTAGAGTACTTCCCCATGTCAGAGTGCAAAAAATGATGTCGAACAGAATACTTGCCTGACTTTATCCCTGAACTTCACTATAGGAACTTTTGCTCGAATCAGCTGAGGTCGTTCAATGTAGTTGGCTGAAAGGGAGAAAAAGATGCATTAAGTTTCATGTAAGGTGCTGATCTTAAAAAAAAAGATCCTAAAGTGGAGTCATATGCACTGTTTTATAGCAAATAGTAGCTTGTTAAATTTAGCAAAAATATTCTCAGAAGGACTGTGCTAAACTAAGTAACCCTTAGCAACTGCAAAAAAAAATACAATCTAGGAAACTATGTGGAAAAAACACACCGTACTAAACATTAGAGAAAAACATTAGTGGAAGATTCTTCTGTGGCAAGTGTATTCAAGATATTTTAACATAAGGAATGCAGTTCTACAACACTTTCACTGATCAGTAGTAATAGAAATCCTGAATAGTTACAATTAAGATTCAAAAAGAAGGGCGCAAGAACATATCCCTCCAGGACGGCCAGACACTTTAAGCCGAGCACTACACTGTAGCAATGGGCATATGATCAGCCACCGACTTTTTAATCATGTCTAGTTTGCTTACAGTTGAAATTATGTATTTTATTGATCAAAAAATATTAACCTAACTGTGTCTTCACTATGCACTGATTATGCTCAAAACTTCCTTTAAAAGCTGTTTATTTGGCTGATAAAGTACATACCAAGAAATACAATTCCTATCAAATGGTTACTGAAAACAGGACAACACTTTCCATCAAAGATTGGATAAGCTTTATCTGCCTTTTGCTTTAATGGTGATAGGACATGCAATATATATATACAGTCACAGGACTGCACCTCAGATGATTATCCACACAGTATAAATACACAGGCTCAACATCAGACCACCCAAACCCAAACATACTAAGCTCTGCCAGACTCATACAATGCCACCAAATGCACCTTTGCACTCGGGTCCCCAAACAGTTGTGTCAGTCCTATTATCTGCAATTTCACTATTCCTGACTATACCTCAGGCTATATTTAGTAGTTGCACTAATCCTGAATGAGAAATGCGCCCAAGAAAGTCATGGAAAGGGCAAAGAAAAGTAGAGCCCGTAGGTTACACAATATGAATTTGGGCAAAAGGCATGATTTTAGCAGGTTCTTCTGTTGCAAAAATCTAGGACCACTTGAATTTGCTCATATCTATCACGCATTTTCCTCTTGCTTCTATAAACTAACCTCAAACTAGCATAAATAAGTGGCAAAGCTAGAAGTAATGCAGACTATAAATAACCTTAAATAAAAGCTGATCTTCAGGTTTTGGGGAAAAAAAAAAAGGTATTTCTACCAGTTTGGATAGCAATCTTGATTAAACAGTGTCCTCTCCATTGCATTTGGATGACCACTTTTGGTAAAACCCCACTGTGCGATATTAAATTAAAACACATTTTACTTTTTTTTTGAGACTTTCTGAAAGCATTTTATGGATACGCACATTTAGACAGGTTTCACCTAAGGTAACCCTTTATCTGGATTTGAATGCATTATATGATCCTAAGCAACACACAGACTGGCACTCAAAAAGAGATACTCTTATTAACTTACTAATTTTAAAGGAAGAATCTTTACAGAACTCCAATCCATGTTCACTGAATGTACAATCTAGTACAACTTACACAAGCATCTCCTCTTTCTAGCTGCACCTGTAGACACACCCAAGCATCCCTCTTCCAGCATCCCAGAACTTTCTCAAAGCAAAGCTATAAAGCGTGTAGAGGTGTCTGCCTCCTTTCCTTTCACTACCAAATTTATGACGAAGATGCCCAGCACATTAGCACAGGTTAGACAACAGTTGGTATCTATCTGCATGCCACAGCAATTCAACTTTCCTCACTATGACCTTCCTCAAGTGCCCTTCAGAAGTTAATTGAACTCATTCTAGGGGCAATCCACTTCCAAACACTACCTTCTCTGCAAATGCCTCCCAACACTTGACGGATGCTTGTGACGAACTAGTTGGCTAAGAAAAAAACCCCAACCAAACAACCCCAAAACATAATCCCAGTCTGTTTCCCAGGATGAAACAAAGCAAAGAGGATGTTAGAAGGAAGTAACTTGCCGCTGGTACCCCCTTTCTTGGCTCACACTGGTGCCACTGTTAGAAGAATCTTTATTGTGCATTAGATTGTCATATATACAAGGGAAGAAACAGTCACAAGCACAGGGTGTGGAATTCTGAAATACATACAGACTGAGTGAAGTGCCTTAGTAAACTGACTATCTGACCTTGAAGCTATGACCAGAGGGGTTACACCAAAATACACATAATGAATTCCACACAGCTGCTCCACAGTTTTGAGCAAGTCTATGAAAAAAAGTCACAAATGCCACTTCAGCTTTAGTGAAAAAGAATATAACCACTTCAAAGAAGGCTATGTACTGTTTTATAAATATCTTATTCATGCATAATTTCAGATTAAACCATTTAAGTCTCTCTTTTCTTTTACAGAGTAAAAGATTAAGCAATTGTACAAAATATTAATTCCAAACATGGTATATGCCAAAAAGATCTTTGTCATCCTGCACATGTAGCTTGGTTTCATTGATAGGGTTATACTACAGAAAGTGAAACTGGCCACAGGGAAGTCTAAATCCAGAGTCATGAAGAATCCAGGAGGGTACAATCCAGCACAGGATGAATTAATTGTTGATGTTTGGAATTCACTCACCCACCTACACAGCCCTTCAAGATCATTCATTTGTGTTCAAGTTCCCTTGCTTGTACTAGCTGTTGCACTTAGACAACCGTTAGGCAGATTCCACTCCGGTATCCTAGTCTCAACACTACTGCACCTCTTTCTATAACTAAGAGAAAATGAGCTGTTTGTTATTTATTCATCTGGTAAACATCAGTCAACACAGTACTGCTAAGCTGTTTTTCAAATGAATCCTGCCTAGACAAATCTGAAGAGTAATCAGTTTGACATTTACTCTCAGTCATTTGGATTATACTCTCTTTAACATGTAGTAACCGTTATCACCCCAAATTCATGTTTCACATTTCACATTTCTAAAAGACACTGGCTTAAGTGTACAGTTCTGGGAATTTAGCCAATATCATAAAAAAACAGGTATGTGCAGGCATCTGAACTAAGTCAGTCAAAACGTTACAGGTACTCTGCTAGTCTCTGAAACAGAAGATATATTGCTGCTATCCTTACATCTCTCTAGTCCAGGAGAAATACAGTACATACCACTACAACATGTCCCACAAAAACAGTGAATAAGTATCAGCAGCTTTCTCCTACTTTACTGTGTGACTAGACTACTCAAAAAGAACACATCTTTATTTCAATCAGCATTCTAGGAGCAAAATGACAACACAGAAAAGCCTCTGCTCTAAGAGTAAATCTGATGGGCTCAAATTCCTTGCTTACACTTGTTACCTTCTGTAAGCCTGAAACTGAAATAAGCTGGAGCTTAGATAAATTTTGAATTCTATTCCCAAACCTCATAGAATGAAACACTAATCTAACAACCACAGTTAACTGTATATAAAGGATAAAAGAGATGGCACTTAAAGTTCTGAAGATGATTTACTCGAAAAACAAATTGTGAAAGAGATCAATCTAATCTGCACTTGAAATGCTTCCTAATTTATCAGTCAATCATGAAATTAAGATGAAATAAGCAGAGATTCACGCTCTTCTTACAGCCCTTATTTTCAAATGTACAGAAACATCAAAGTACAAGAACAAAGACAAAGATGTTAGGAGAGACACAGCTAGAAAAAACTTCTCCCAAGCTTCTGAACAGAAGTGATATAGAAAAAGGTTAAAAAAGCTCTAGAACATTACCTATGCTACAAATCTCTTCCTTATTTCTTTTTGGCCTTTTAATTCTCACATAACCAGGCCAGCAACTTCATTTTAAATAACTTATCTTTCCTCCCCGCTTCTTGTTTCTCTTACATATTGGCACATACTTGATTAGCTTTCATGTGTGGTCCAAACTATGTTTATTTCCTTGCTCTTTTGTGGAGCAAGGAATAAATTTAAAGGCAGCTCACATACTTATTGACCACATGCTGCAGTCTTTCTTCTACTGAAGAAAGAAGGAAATACTTAACTAGTATTGTTAAAGAGGATTTACCTTAAGATTACAGGACAGCACCATATGTATTAACTGGACAGCACAAAACTTAAAAACAATGATCAGATAAAGCTTCATAGGTTGTTAAAAAGCACATGCAGTAATATACAGAATACTGTTGGAATTGTCCTGGCTTGGGCTAAAATAGCACTAATTCTGTTTTAGTGATTTTACTTTTCAGTTAAGTCTCTTCTAAGTAACTGCACTTTCTAAAGTCAACAGCATGTTTTTCCAGAGAGTGACTGCTTCTAGTAGCAAGAGCGCTTTATGTTTATAGTTACTACCAAGGAATGGTATGCAGAAAGGCTCTTGCTTATACTTGCTCCTACAGCACCAAGGTCACTGCTAGATCTTGTACTCTGTGTTGGGGTGCTGTAAGTGAAAAGGGTTGCAGGTACATAAAAAGGCTGCACCTTCAGGGAAGAGCAAACCGGACAGGTGATCCAAACCTGACCAACAGAGTGTTCCATCCCACATATGTCATAGGCAGTATAAAGCTGAGGGATCATGAGGGTCAAGCCCTCTTCTTTGATGGCCAACATCTGAGGAGGACTCCATCCATTCCTCTGTCTTGGATCCCGATCCATGCATCCCTGAATCGAGCGCCAGAGTCCAGCTCCTGCATTCATTTCCCATCTGCTGTCGAGTCCAGCTTGGGACTTCCCCAGTGCCAGCCCTGCAGTGTCAGTCGTGACGTATGGTGTGGGGCAGTTGGGCTCGGTATCGGTTTTGTATACATTTGTATACATTTCATTATTTTCTTATTACCTTTTCTTTTATTGTTATTGTTTCATTAAAGCCATTTTAGTTTTCTTTTCCAACCTGTAAGTCTCTCTCCCCTATTCTCTCTCCCTTCCCCTTGTGGGAGGGGGGAGGGGTTAATAGAGAACGTCTGTCATTCAGTAGTGGCTGGCCCAGCCTCAACCCTTTACAGAAATGAAACTGCAGTTCTTAAAGAAGCTTGGTACAGACAAATCTTACACTTGCTTGTACACAGCAGCAGCATACGTGCACTGCTAAGCCTTTAAAAGTTGCAAATCTAGAATTCTGGTTCAAGCTGAAGTAATGTTTCAAAAGAATTACAATTTCTGTAGGCTTTTTCTTTAAATGTAGGTACTTGTAGATCCTATCCTCAATGATTAAGCAGCAGCTGACTTCTGAAAACAGTAGAAGGTAGGAAATCACTTAAACTGCAGTTCCATTAAAAAAGAATTTAGCAGCCAATCTGGAGCTGACAATGAACAGCCATTTCTAAGCATGTAAACCTGACTCCACAAACCTGCAGAAGTGTCAAGGACACCACCGAAGCACATACTGCTATGGTTGTTTCCCCAGAGGCAAAGAAAAAGCATATGAATCTATTAGCTTCTGAAGTCTAGCCTACGGGCACACCCCCAACAAAAATCAACCCACAAGCTAGTCTGAAATTATGAGTGACAACTACTGTATTTGCCTAAATAAGCCTTAACCAAAATAACTGGGCAACTCCCTTGTTTCAGAAGTACTGAACCTTAGCATAGTTGAGCTACAGTTTGTAAAGGAACTCAATCCAAATGGAAAGACTTACATGGCAAAGCCTTTTCATTTTGAATCAGGTGAACATTTTTAAACAACTTTTTTCTATCAGTTCTGTCCACAGAACATCCATATGCAGACACAAGGACAGATGGCTAGGTATAGAAATTCATGCCCATAGTGAAGTCAAGATTATGAAGCGATGACCTAAGGTGTCTACATACCACAGCTAAAAGAGTCTGACAGAAGCGGTAATATCAGCACTGTTTTGTCCTGCCTCACCTTCCAAAGAACATTTTGACTAAATGAAGCTGACCAAAGGCACTTGCAAGACAATAGAGAATTAGGAAAGCATCAAAAATGAGTAATGGCACAAACAAAAACAGTCAGGGATCTCTCCCACATGACCATCATGTCTTTCTGATACTCATCTTCCCTGGCAAACAAACTCTATTTTGTCTAAATAGAGTCACAGAACACAACCTCTTGAAAAGAGGTGATAGTTTATACACTCCCTTTCTGATCCGTGAAACCACAACTATTTTATCACTGTGCTTCACAGAAAGCACTGGAACAACTTGCATCCTAGGCAAATCCAGACTAAATTCTGGACTACTTACACAAATTTCAATACACAATACTAATAAGACATTAAATATCAGATGCCTATTCTGCGACAAATCTATCAAGTCTCTCTCCAAGTGAGCTGTTGAAATCCAGGTATGCACACTTGCCAATGAAGAAATTTTTAAGCCTGCATTTAAATTTATGGTTTGTTCCATTTACCATTGCAGGATTGTTCAGAACAGCAATACAAGGAGCGGTATTAAAGAATATATCAGGAGTCTGAGAAGCAGGAGGACATGGTCATTGATATCAATAAATGACAGGGTCTTTTATAGGTCAAAGGATGGTACAAAAGCCTGTTTGAAGTAGGAGGCTTTCACATTTAAGTCAAGAACTACCCCTGTGAATTCTTCACCTGAAGGGAGTCTGGACAACAACTTATAAGAACTACAAACTGACCCGTTTCTCCTACATGTGCTGGTACTGTCAACATTTAGTATTTTCTTCACTAGGCACCTTAGATAATTATTTCACTGGTATTAAGGCCACCCCCCACCCCAGCCCCCCCAAAAGATAAGATCAATTCTACACAGTCTACTGTGAGCGATATCTGATTTTACAAATTCTTAAGAGTGTTGTCCCCAGGAAAGCACTGCAATCTAAGAGAGTAGTAAGAGTTCACTAACAGAGGACTCCCAAACAGAAATTACTTCCCGCTCGCTGCAATTGTGGTCCACAATTCAAAAGTCTTTTTGGATGCTACCTGTTCTAGAAGTCCAGTAGTTTGCAAGGCAACTGTTAGGTTTTTTAATTACTATGCATCAGCACCAAGATAAGTAACATTACTAAATATTTATAGCTTTTCTCCAAACAATATTGTGATTAGAAGCCAGACAAGATGCAATCACATAAATGAGTTACAACTGTGCATCAATTCTTTTTCCAAAATTGCCAGTAACCTTACCACCTAACTGTAGCCAGGAACTTACAGAGTTTAGTACTGAAGAGTTTTTGGACTAAGCCGAGGATATGCCTTGCTTCGGTCTTCTGATTTACCTGAAATATGATATTAAAATTAAAGAAAAAAGTTGTTATCTCTCATTTAGAGGTTCCAAGTAAGTGTGCTTAACTTTTCAAATAAAATTAATTCTCAGAATTCAACATGAACATGTATATCATCATATTCCACAGCCTACACACACATTTAACACAGCAAAAGCTAGATAGAACAATTCGTATTCATTACGTGAAGTAACTATAAGACATTCACAAATCATAGGACTTGATGAAAATCTAGCCCCGCTTCACAAAATGTCCTTTTCTTCCTTTTCAATGATGCTTCAATTCTTTCAAAGTTATGGTCTACTTGGATTTCTTTCCTGTTAAATCTTTTCTCTCAAACTAAATTCTACTCAAACATTTTCTCTCACCAAAAATACTTAGGTATTTTGCAAATCAAATTCATTCTTATACCTGCTCACTAAAATTAGTGGCTATGAATCTAAATAATGAAATTTAAAACGGTATTTATTAAAAGTTGCTCCTGCATCTCAAATGAGTTAGAGTTCTCTAAACAATTTTCTTCATGATTTTAGGCAATTTACTTTTCTGTTTTGTTGTGCTTTTTTCACATATGGAATGAAGGTAATGCTTATTTTCTGAAGGTTTCATTGGTTTAAAGGGTTTATAGGGTTAAATTTGTATTCGCAACATTATTGGGCCACAGTTCACATCTATGACGAGTGCACAAATATGTTATTAAAAGGATCTGACCATTTGTTTCTCATTTTAGAATCCAGCCTTATAAAAGCACATACATTTTAAAACTAGACTTTATTTTAACTATATATATTTTAAATTACTTACTGGTTGTTCTTTAACCATCAGGCACAAGTCGCCATCACTGCTACGAGTGCCAAACCCATTCAGTGAGGAACCAACCAAAAAGAGTCTGCTCTCTGTAACAGAAGAATCACAGAACAAAAAATGATGTGACATATCATAGCTTAAGAGGAAGGAAGAACCATAAACCTGAAGAACATTAAACTGGTATTGAGTAATAACATTCAAAACTTACTTGGAAAAATTCGCTGAATTTCTCTCTGAAGTTCTGTTCTGCAGACCTCTTTTCTGTTCAAATCACAGGCCTGTTGCTGACATGCTTGAAACAACTCTAAAATCTGCTGACTTAACTTGACACAAATATTAAAAAAGTAAACATACAGTGAAGTGAGCATTCTTTCCTGCCAGAGATACAATTACATCAAACATAGAAGACTTCATTAAAAAAAAAAATCCAGCATCATTTTCCACGACCTATTGCATTGTCTATAGTTTTACTGCACTTGAATTCATATTGAATAACTCCCTGGAAGAAATTTCTGCAAAGTTTTAAATTTGTTCAATCTGTTACGGAATGTCTATCCACATAAAATAATCTTTGCCTCATGAGTATCTGCAGCCTTTCAGGGAACAGGCAGTGAAAGACCAGAATTACCTTCTGCTGACTCCAATGTCAACAATTTGCCTACCAGTAATAGGGAGAAAAATGAGTCTTAAAACTGGTATGTTAGCTTTCTTTTTTTATCCCAGATAAACTATTAAAGAAGTAGTCAGATCTTGGATGGAAGGTTAACTGTTTCTCTTTCACAATACTGTTACACGCTATAATCAACAGGCAATCTTCCCTATGCCCCAAAAACGCTCCAAACCCAAACAAACACACAAGGAGGCTACATAGGACCATAGTGGCAGCTACATTTATTGATATTCCTTCTAATGACAGCTCAGTGATAGAGACCCCATGACATTGCCAAAGAACCTCGCCGAAATTTCTGTGGTCTCCCACAGCACCATTGGACCATGCCTACTCAGAAGGCAGATGTAAAGCACAGGCACAGAAAGGTATTACCTTATCTTTGGCCACAGGAAGAGTGATTTCTACAGGGTCTGGAAATAAAGTATCTGGCAATGGAGGGAGACATCCAGTTAAATCTGGTATGTAATGTGCATGCAACAGTGGAGATTGAATTGATCCTGGGAAGGAGTATCTACGTTCTTCTGGTAAAGGCACTGCCTGGTTAACTACAGTTGTTTTAGAACAATGTGAATGAAGCCGCTGCCGTTTGACATCATATGGAACTCTTTGTCCACTTAGCCTCCTAAAGAGAAAAAAAAAAAAGGGGGGAGTGAGGGGCAGAGAGCAAGCGACTCAGATATTCATCTAGTTTGCAAGCTCCGACCTACGACTAAAGAGATAGTTGCCATAAAGTACAAATACTAAAGCTTAATTACATGACTATTTCACTAAAAGCAGGGATTCTACAGCACAAAAGGCATGTCCATCCTAGATATTAGGTGAAATAAACCTGGAAAGGGAAATGAGAACAGACAACCGCAAAAGTGCAGCTAGCCTTGAAGTGAATTAATGCAACTACTTTACAAGAGCACCTGTATTGACCAATTGAAACACAAATGGCAAGTTCAGTTAAGCAGGACAGCCTGGAAAACCGGTCATACTAGTTTGGTGACAACACACTTTTTTTAAAAAAAAGATACATACAGACTATGTTAGGGTACTTTTCTTTCAAATCAGTTTAAGTGCAGTGAGAAGTTTTGTGAGTTCTGAATACCCAGTGATGAATAAAAGAAATTCCATAGTGGGGAGGTGAGAAAAAGCAGCTCATCACAATAGCCATGCAAAACATAGGATTTGTTTGTGTCTTAGATTGTACAGACAGTAAACTGTGTCATCTGGGCAAAAAAGAAACACTATTCATTTGACAAATCAAACTAACGATTGTATTAAGCTACACAGGCCATAAACCTAATGTCTCATTTTCGAACACTAGTCTGTATCTCCTCATTAAGTCATTTGTCACAGGAATTCAAATGTATTTGAAGAGATATAGTGATCTTAGAGACAGCCCCTTGGCATCTGAACTCTTCATTAAGAAGTTGGACTGAAAGCTGACCAGTGGTTGAATACTGTGGTTCATCCACAGTAAAGAATAAGAAAGGACACTCATGTTTTGTTTATACATCAAGTACTGCATAAAATTATCCAGTATGGGGGTATTCACACATTTTTTTAATTAAAAAGCTTGAAATCAAATGTTCCAACTATTAATAAAACTACAGTCAGTTCTTGTAGTCGAAAAGCTGGCATCAAAGTAGTCTGGGGACCTGGACAGATAGTATTATTAATAATAAAAATTTAACCAAAGAGACCCCAAGTCATCATTTCAGTTTTCAAGTCTGAGAGAACTTCTGATAACATCACCTACCTGTAATCTTAAAGGAACTCATAATGTCATTTCAGCCTATTTTGACCAAGAACAACTTGCAAAAACTCACATTCAGCAAAAATACATTAAGAAGAGTCGAATCAAGGTCTAAGGATAACTACTTGACTCCAAACCTCGTAACACAGCACAGCTTTCCACAAACCAGACTGGTCAGAAGGAAAACATGCATGCAGCATGAAACCAGGAACTTCTTTAGTTCATGTGATAATTATTTACTCAACTATAACTATAACTTAATACCATATATTTAATCAGACTTAATTTCTCATCTGTTAAATCTGGAAGAGAAACAGCATACAGGAAATAGTTCTGAAAACAGATTACATAAAGCTTCCTCTCTATCAGCTGATTCACAGAATTATTACAAACATATCAACTAGTATTTCTGAACTGATAAGTGATTTTTTTCTAGAATGTTAAAAGAAAATAAAACCATATGTTCACCTGAAATTCTTCTTTCTGTTGCAACTAAAGTAATAAAGGCAGTTATGTAAATTCAAGTAGGTTAGTTTTTCTGAAAAGTAGGAAAACTATGTTTCCATAAAATTCCCCTTAAAAAAAAAGAACTTAAATATGCGTGAATTTAGCACTTTGTATTTGAAAAATAAAGCATCACATAATTAAGAACATTGGGAGAAACTCCTTGTGTGTCATCAGAAAAACATTACAATTCCCATAAAACATTGAGTGCAGTCTTAACTGGACAAACTGACAGGAAAAGAACACTCAGTTTATTGACACAAACCTTCTTATAGTCAAGCACACACAGAGTACGATCAATTACAGTATTAAACTAAAACATGTAAATCACAGTACTGTAAGGCTACAGCTGTTGGAAGAGAAAAACTACACATACTAAGTCACTGATGAATACTAAAATTCTCAAAAGCAGGTACATGAACGTTTTAAAGAGCCACAATGGCCTGTTTCATCAAAAACCATTTTATTCAGTATTGCAATTTCTAACAAAAATCAAGTTGCACAAGCAATTGATATTAGACATGCTTCACCACTTCACCATGGGTACATTACAACCAGAATTAATCACACACACACACAAAGAACTTACTTTCTTCCTTGGAATGACGTGCGGGCATGAGATATATGTACCGGACTGCCATTTCCATAAGTTGTTGGATGCAGTGCAATAGTCGGAAGAGTTGCAAGGTTCCCACTCAAGACAGTCCTGGAAAGACTACCGTCCATAACTGTTATTCATACGATAACTAAAATGCTTTTTATGGGTTGAGGTTTTTCTTAAGTAAATATCAATCTCAGCAAGTCCTGTCATTTTTTTTCTTAAAAGCAATAAGCATCTGTCTTTTCTATTCAAAATGAAGAGACATTTCAGTATATAATATATTTTTCATTAAAAAAATAGAAGACAGTCACTCTTCACAGCACACGTGTAAGAAAAGGTTAGCAAAGAAATTAACCTAAGGTACTGTTAAATTTAAAAGCCTAAAGAACATTATGGTGTCTTCAAATCTATCCCCAAGAATAAATGTTTCTTCCCCATCTAATCTAATGCCTATTTTCCTCAGTAAACAAATACTGTGGATTATTAACCCTAATCGGTACAATGGCATCCCATGCATTATGCACAAGGCAAGAGAGCATTAAAATCTGCAGGTCACCAAGAGAAATGATACAGCTGTGTTTTACATATGACACATTCCTAGTTTTCAAAGTTTAATGTTAAAAACAATGAAAAACATCCTTGACAAACAGAAATACTTCTTTCAAAAGACAGTTAACTCCTTTTTCAACCCAGTCTCCACTATCGAATCTTACTGTACTTACACTGTGTTTTGAAACCTAAACTCAGTACCAACAATTTGCTGCTGAGACAGAAGAGTAGGTGGTATATCTAGAGGAAGCTTATTGAAGAAGCCATTCTGTTGTTGATGTTTTGGAGGGAAATGTGGACGACCCAAGTCGGAGTGATTTGGGAACATGCTCATTTTCAGTCGAATTGAACATACACCCCTTTACCTACATTAGGGAAAAAAAAAAAAGAAATCGAAATTAGGCAACAAGAAATACTAGTTACCTTTTAAAGTGTTGGTTTAAAAATTCAAATAATCTAGAATACATTTACAGAAATTGCTTAAAAGAATTGTGATTGTGGGCTAGTTTTATTTCCTTTAAGGAAAAGATACTAAATAAAAATACTATACACTCTTAAGTTACACAATTACTACTTATTTTATGTTTAAAAGTGAATTTTTATTTGCTCCCCTCCATTTTAAGTTTAATTTTAGAAAAATTACATGACACAAGACATCAGAGTTTTCATCTCAAGGAAAAGTAACACATTACAGTGCAATATGTTTCTTATTTCAAATGTTCCACAATGAGGCTTACAATATATGAGAAGAAACACTTGACTACATCATAAGAACACGAAGATGCAGCTGATCATGAGCTCTAAGTAAAATTAATTTTTTTCATTACATGATATGCAAAGGAGCAGCCAAGTGCTGACAGCAATTGGAAAGTAATCTACTCATGCTTTAAGAATATCATATATATATAGTGTTATTTTATGTTTGTACTTACTGAATGTACTCTATGATAGAAAAATGTGGGTGTTTTAAATTTAAAAATTATTCTGGCACAACTGCTTTTTGATCTTGTATCATTATAGGCACTACACACCAACAGAAAGGTTGGATGAAAAAGAAAATCTTTGCCTCTACAATAGGTTAAGTGTGTTCCGCATTTATTTTGCAAATCATCAGTATTTTACCTTAACCTCAACTTACATGTTGGAAACAATAAGAGTTTGGATTTTACACTGGAAAAACCATATCAGAAGATTTTTAAAACCAGTTATCAGTACTGCATATACCTCTTAGCTTCAGTGAAAACCTGACATTTTAAAGTTTCTTCATCTGTTTTTTTACTACAGTTTTAAATAAGAACCCTGCAAGCAAAGAAGATCTCTCACTGACATATACAGAGGTGCACGACTGATGTCAATAGTCTGCATATAAGTATCCAATTAGTGCAACACAGGGATTCAAATACAATAGGAAGAAGTTCTTTCAAACAACTTTTAACTGGAACATTTAGAAGTCATAAAAGCAATGGCAGTATTTCCCTAATTACTACATAAAAGCCTCTTTATCAACACAACGCTACAGTAGTACAATTAGAAAAAGTGCCGATAGGATTTCCATGCCAGGGCATGCATGGACCTATCACCATACAGTAGTCGAACTTTGGAATAAAATTAAAGTATCACTTTTCGGTTCTCTCAATTACCAAACTAAATATATATATATACACATATATATAACCATTGTATTAATAGTTACATTAATAAACATTCTCTCATACACTGAAATAAATCAGTTATAACTTTACTGTAGTGAAGTCTCACTGTTACCACAGCCTTGAAGTCTTCTTTCACCTACCACTACGGACAGTTGTCATGTTTTAACCTCCTCAGACAGCTGTGACTGTCACTGCAGGCAGCACTAGCACGGATCATAGATAAACACCAACGAGTTTATTTGCTCAGGTTCGACTTCATTCCTTACTTCCTGTGATGACAACCCGCACTAGTGAAAACCTGGTACTACCTACATGGACATTGTTGCACTAGCTCCAAGAACAGCGTCAAGATTAACGCTCTCACGGGCTCTTC